GAAAAACTAAATCAGTGTACAGTTCTACAATCACGATCATCATGTTAACTTTTCCAAATCAAAAGGCAACATTGACACTATAATTTACCTGATACAGTACTTAATTGATATGAAAAATGCAATAATATAATTATGCATATTTAAAATATAATGTAATATATGGGGCTTATTATTAGATATTTGTCCCCTCACGCAAAAAATGGGGGTTTCCTTGCTGACATACTGTAAGATATAATATGATGATATATGAAATCATATAATATCAAACTTGTACATATATGCAGTAGTCACACACCAGCATTTCCAAAATTTTGTTGAGCCAAATGCAAGAGTGCATCAGTTAACAGGTCAGTTCTACGGTTTTTTGACATTTCTTTTGTAATTGCTGAGAAACCCCGGAGATATGCCCAGAGCCTCTCAATAGCCTCTCCATCAGTGAGACCAAAACCTTCAAGTCTCCTTGGACTGAATTCGATCTAAGTAGGGTAATACATGTTGTAAGTTTGCAGAAACCACTGGTTGTCACAATGCTACACTAGTCTACTGCATATCGCACCATCAACGCATTCATTTGACCCATTGTACGGTATTCTGGAAAACATAAACCTGGAAGGCATAGGAAAATAAGTCACTAGATTGGGACTCTTTCCTGAAAAATCTGCCAGCCATCAGCCGAGCAGATCAATGCTTGGAAAAACCTCGTTGATGGAATATTATTTGTATATACATCAGTCAAGCAGCAAATAAAGCTAATAAAACTGTATATTTACCATTAAAAGGATTCTCATACAGTACAGTGGTTATTACCTGACATGATGCTTTATGCCCATAACAATGAAAAATTGGGATAGCTACTGTAATTCTGGACAACATATCATGCCTTCCATTTGCCTAAATGTATGAGACAGTGAAGTAGGTACATGCCTGTCAATATCACAGCTGATTTAATTAGAATGTCAGTCACAGAATCACCACAACAGACATGCACATTACAGTTACAGTACCTGTAAATGTGACGACAGCACACAACCAATGTCATACAAATCAATTTCCTGATTGGTATTATTCAAAAGTTGGTTGAGCTGATACACAGAGTATGAAATCCTATATTCAAATATATTATATAATGTGAGACAATGCATATATAAAAAAGTCCTGTAACATTCTGGAGCTCATCGGTGCATAAACAGATTAACCCTTTCACCACCAAGAGTGTCTTTTTATATTTTACTCTGTCCAATGCTAGAGGATTTTATTGGTCAATGTGGGGCCACCAGTGGTGAAAGGGTTAACATGATGTGTTTTGCATTTTACAGTATACACTATATAGGGGTGGTAAAGGGCATAACAAAATTATAATAATTTCTCAATTTAAATAAAGCCACATTTAAAGATTGGTTGTAATTTTTCAGAAATTGGTTTTTAAAAAGAATAGTGTGAGGCCACATAAAACAAAATCAACACTAATGCCGTGCAGACGGTGCAATGAAACAAACCTTTCTCCATGTTTTATGCTGAGAAACTTCCCAGGGTGCATATGTCGGCTGCAACAATTTCCGAAGACACCTTTCTCATCAAAAAGCTCATTCTTTCCCTTTGATCTGAGTGCATCTGTAACTTCACCAGCTTTAAATGTGTGACAACTCTATGAAAATAATTTTTTGAAATTACTACTTTAAAAACCATAAAATAACAATCTCTGTATAGCATTAACAACATGAAACAATAATCTGTCACTATTGTTACACTGAATAAGAGTAAACTACATGTACAGTAGTCTTGGTTAGCCTAATGCCTACAGAGTCAACAGGGACTAGACATTGCACTAATCACTGGACTAAATCATGATAAACAGTAACTAGTGTGTTTATTTATTAGTACCTCCCCTTTTGAGCTGTTTGAATTATTGTAGTGATCTACAAAATTGTCAACGTCATCCTGGTCTGAAAACAACAGACATCCATGGTTTGAATTGTTGAAGCTACTACCAGCATTTTTCTTCCGAGTAAGACCAAAACAGGCATCAAAGGAAAGGATTGCTGTGCCAGTTTCATCACTCTACAGGGTGTATCAGAAAAAACTAGAAGATTTTAAAATGTTCAGAAAACTATCATTTTATCAAGATATCTCAAAAATATATTTACGTCTAAGTATTTTAGCATCTTCTGGCTTATCTAAGAGTAAAAACTAGCAGAAAAATTAACCTCAAAATTAACCCCGCTTGTGCAAAGAAAATAAGACGTTGAAAATCCAAGTTCAGTTAAAGAGGTGAATATGACGTCAAATTTCCGCCAAAATTCATACATCGTATTTTTTGTTTAACTTCGCGTATTTAGTACAATTCAGTATACTTAACATTCAACATTGTACATCTCAACTTCAACTTTTGGAATTGCATATTGTAGTGTGAAGTTTAAACTTTTTTTCTGCGACATGCAACTTTCAGTGCTGGTTGTCGAGCGAATTGATTTGCAGTATTTTGTATTTTTCGTGCAAGTTTTGTTTTGACATTCAAGTTTTCTAATTTGACATCCAACCGCAATCCTGAACAATTTTAGAACTGCGGGCTCGTGTTTCCTCACCCAATCCCCCAAAGTCAAATACTTCTGTACACTGAGTAGGGGTAGAGACGGGTATGTCTTTCATCATAATTATTTGAAATTATTTGAAAATAAATTATTAACTTCATCACAAAGCCACATGGGAAATACTGAATCCAGTATCTCCTTTGGGACAAAGCGAAAGCGAAATCTCTCACTCGAGTTTATCAAAATCTCAGTTTGAGTTTGCGACGCTGTAACAGGTATTTAATATCCACATGGACGAAATAACCTATTTGCAAGCTGCTTTGCAAGACGTTATTGTTGCTTTGGACCGGTATGAAACTTCAGGTGACCATGCAACTGACTTCCAACCAATCATTTTAAAATTGGACTACTTGCAACGACTTGCAGTGTGTGTCGATGTCGATGACAGTGTGACGGAGATAGTTAGAGAAGCTTACCGGATGTTGGTGGGCCTAGATGAGAATAGACAATTCCATGGAAACAATCTGTATAGAGCGTCGTTGAGAAGAGATGGCCAACGAGGAAGACCAGCTTTCAATATTTCGGAAGACCAACTTTCATATTTACTTGAGCAAGGCTTCAAAGTAAATGACATTAGTGACATTTTTGGAGTAAGTGTCCGCACCATTGAAAGGCGCATGTCAGCATTTGGACTAAGTGTAGCAGGTACAGATTTAACAATTACAATTCCTAGATTCACTTCTCATTGATTATGCACAACTTATATACTTTTAAATGTATATGCTGATATGATATTCCCTTTTGTTTTCTTACTTTTTTTGCAGATATGTATAGTGATATAAGTGAGGATCAATTAGACCAACTAGTACTTGACGTAATAAGCCAACATCCTGGCTTTGGCATACGGATGGTAAAAGGCTTTTTGCGGGGAAAAGGTTACCGAATTCAATGGGAAAGAATAAGAATGTCTTTACTGCGGACTGATCCCATTGGGCTGATGGAGAGGTGGAGAAGAACCGTTAAAAGGCGGCATTACAGAGTGATGTATCCACTGTCCCTATGGCACATTGACGGCAACCATAAGCTTATTAGGTATGTATTGTGCTATAGTAGAAAGTTGGAGTATAGAATAAGAATAAAGGTATCACTAAGCTATTTTGCATTTTCAATAGATGGCGAATTGTTGTCCATGGTGGCATAGATGGGTACTCAAGAATTCCAGTTTATTTGAGGGCTTCTAGCAACAATAAAGCAAGCACTGTCCTTACATTTTTTGTTGAAGCTATAAACGAATATGGCCTTCCTTCACGGGTGAGGTCTGACAAGGGAGGGGAAAATGTAGATGTGTCTACATATATGCTAAACCACATTCAGCGAGGGCCTGGCAGAGGGAGCATGATAACAGGTGGTTAGATATTAAATAATATTATTTATTATACTGTCTTAAATTATGTTACACTATGTTAACACTTTGATATAATTGCAGGAAAGAGTACACATAATCAGCGAATTGAAAGGCTCTGGAGGGATTTATTTGCTGGATGCCTCAGTCTTTTTTATGAGCTCTTTCATCACTTGGAGAACCAAGAGATTTTAGATGCTAATGATGATGCTCAGTTATGGTGCCTTCATTTTGTATTCTTACCAATCATCAATAGACACTTGGACAACTGGAGGGCTGCCTATATTCACCATCCCATGAGCACAGAAAATAACAGAACTCCCATGCAGCTGTGGATTAGTGGACTGGTGAAAGCACGTGGTACACAGCGTCCTGAAGATTTGGATTGCCAAGTAAAAAATATATTATATTAATATAATATTATATTATATATTATAAATGCCTTCTCAGTGCAGCTTGGTATATCTATACACTAGATGGCTACTGTTTTTATGCCTGTACGTTTGCTCTCACCAACTGCACATGGTTCAACACAGAGCTATCTACATGTATAGGCATTCGCAAAGTGTAGTGGGGCCTCAAACGACCACTACATATTTATATATAGTAACCTGTTATCATATTTTTGTTAGGGTGATTATACCAATTATGGTATAGACTGGCAAGGGCCTATTCCTGAATCAAGTCCAGATATTGTTGAAGTTCCTTTGACAGACTGCCCCTTTCATAATGAAGTTCATATGCAAGCAACAGCCAACATGACTTACTCTGATGGAGTTGAAGCATTTATTACTTTAAAAAACATGCTGCCAATAAACTAAAGAAAAATGTAAATAATTAACATGATCAACTGGTTTGAAATGTCAATAGTGCACCGAAGGATTGTATTGCATTCATGCAGTGCATTACAAAGTTGTTTCATGGAATGTAACATGAATTGTATAAAATGTATAACATGAACATATAAAATTTTGTGGATGAAACTAAATGTAAACTACTGTTTTTGGGCCTAAAAACATCACCCTTATATAGGAACACCTTCAAACATCCCCAAAAGGAAATTTTCAGCATTAGGTGAAACTGAAACCTTTAGCCCCATGCGTAATAGCAATGTCCATGTACTTTTTGAAAACTTCGTAGCTATTGTGCTTTTCTGGCAGTATTACTTTCTTGAAGCATGTCTCCGCTAGGGGTAACATATTTGCGCCACCATCAAAAGTGACCAGCAGAGAATTATCATCTGTTGAGTCAATCTTGCTGCTTCCTGTCCAAAATGTTATAATATCAACCACTCCATTTGAACCTTCATAAAACAAAACATTTCATTTAAGCAGCATTCTAAGCTTTTCTCTTGGTTTTCTCCTCAAACTTTGACAAAAAAATAAAAGAAATTATTTGACAGACTGTCGATCATAATGATGAATTTGGATTGGTAACTTGATGTCCATTACACGAGCTGGAGAACGTCCAAAAAATGAGCGTGTTCAAAATTGTTTTTGTTTTGTTAATTGTTTTGTTACCCTTTTCACACGACCCAAGGAAAAATATGCTTAATATGTAAAATTAGCTTTGACTTTTCGTGAATTGACGGTGTTTGAAACAAAAGTAAAAACGCCCGAAAGCATTACATAGTCTTGCGTATATAATGCAAAATGCAATGCAACAATACATTTTTACATGGAGAAAAAGAATAAAGAATGACGGTTGTTTCACCTTCTTTCCTGGTTTCTACTTCTTTAATGTATTGCGTAAAGTACTCAGCGGTTTTCTTAGTACTTTCACTCCTGTCTTTATCTTCAAAAGTTAATGCTTGAAGTACTTCTTCAGCAGTTACGCGTCTTTGGGATTCTGATGGAAAAACCACCCTTGCAATGATATTGTTCTGTTTTAGAAATGTTGCAAGACATACATCATTCATACCTAAATTGTTTTGAAAAGCAAAATTTATCAGATTACTTAACATTATATCCCAAATATCAATATTATCATGAATGGCAATGCATTGCAATACTGCATGGTTTGCGCAAATCTGTGAGTACTATATATATATCTATAATAAAGACGGATAGCTTAGCCTGTGCCAGATAAAATGCTTCCTGGTATGTTCCGGCTATGAACGAATGGTAATTATCCTACACCCGTGCAATGATTCTACTTTTATGCAATCTCATTAAAACCTGCACGTTTGCACTGGCAACTTAACTCGTTACATACATGATATTCAAATAAAATATACCCTCTTCACGGACCTGGATGGTACGCCAATCGTCTTTGATTCATTAAAGGATGTACGTACTTACAGCCCGATAGGCAGTCGTAACGTAATAATTTAAATAGTCTATTATGCTGTAAAACTGAAAACTTGTATATAGATCGTAGCATGCTTATAAACAATGATTTTGTTTAACAACGAAATATCGCCAGAATATTGCGCATTGTTTCTAACAACTCATACCTTGAATTTACAAGATGTTCATTTTCGGAATATGTTTTATATTCTATTATACTGTACTCAGATCAGTTTGAACTAAAGCTCTCCTGCGCATGCAGATGGATTTTCTGTGTTTTCTTTTGTACTAATAACAAACTTACCGTTTGCCATGTCATCAAGTTCTAGACGCCTTTTATCTCGGACTTGATATAGTATTAATCCATCAACAGTAAGTTTTTTGTTGCTTATCAAGTTGTCTGGGTCTATTCCAGCTTCAAATAAGTATGGTTGAAGGGCACACCTCAATTCAGCTGCAGGGTTAGCAATTACGTCCATAACATCAAGCTATGAAAAAACATTGGAAAAACACACTTTAAGCACCAATATATATAAATAATTAGTTGAGTGAATGATTGAAAGTGAATGATTGAAAATTAAAGATCGAAGGTAAAACACAATTTATAATTGTGATCCTCTGTACGAGTGGATGTTCATATGCATTTTACCTGTGATATAAGACTCCTTAGTTCAATATCAGGGATATCATCAAGGGTGACAGGTGGTGGTGGTTGAAAGAGCAATTCGTGGTCAGTAGTGAAGTAGTGTACTGCTGTTGGGGATAGACCATGAAGGCCAGGACCACCATGTAGGATTGAATGGCCGATAATCCTCCCGAGGGCCTTAAAGGTGCCCGTCAGGCGAAGGGATTGATCGTGTATGGGAAGAAGATGATCTTTATCACCTTCCAAGAAAATAAGTGGTTTTGACGTAGCAGAAGGTATACCCTCCTCCACAACCTTCATCGCAAGGGACAAAAATTCTCTTACTGGGCCAGAACCCACAGCACCCTCTTCCTCAAATCGCACTTTAGGTTTTGCTCGAAGATTTGTTTTTTGATTTTTGTAAATACCGATTATGTCCCTCCTTAATTCTGCAACTCCATCCATTCTGCAAACAGAAAAGCGTTGATGGGGACTATCTTCATCTGTGTTTTGCTGTTGAAAATATTTGAGGGCACTTGCTGGAGACGAAACATCAACTACTACAGGTACACTATCAAATGAATTTTCAGTTTCTTGAATAATGTCTTGATCATCATCATCATCAATAAACACATTGGGTAGATCATTTTGATTATCTTTAAACAAAAAAAATATTGAGTTTAATCTAATTTAACAAAACTAAAACACTCAGGGCCCTTTTTAAGGAACCCCCTGTTTAAAATACAAGCATTGTTTTTTTAAAACATAAAAGCATGTATCCACCCAATATTGTTTTTGCATACAAAGTATTAAAAGGAAACAGGGGGTGTAGTTTGCCCCCACTACTAAGGGCCAATTACACCCCCCAGTAAGCATTTTGGCTAATTCATAAAACAATGTTGGCAACATGGATACATGCTTATATGTTTTATGTAACATTGCTTATATTTTATGCAGGGGGGTCACTTTCTCTCAAAATGACTCCTTAAAAGAGCCCTTGAAAATACTACTTAAAGCTAGCTGCCATATTTTAGTGTATCCTTCTGTCCATGTAAGAGAGAGCAAAAAATGTACTAGTGAATGCTGTGAGCTAATGATTTTTCTTGCATTAACACCTTATTTTAATACACTGTATTCAATAGGAAAAGCCATATACCTGTCAACAATAATTGCTGAGCAGCTTGATCAATATTCCCACTTGAAAAACTTAATGCATCACATATATCTGATTCACTAGCATCAGGACAAAGTTCTTTCAACATGTTTATATCATTTTCAGCACCAGCAACAGATGAAGGTTTTTGTTGTCCACTAGTACTTCCCCTAGGTAACAAATAGGTAACTGTTGTTTTAGGTACTGCATGTACACATTAGGATCAATGGACATTTGTGATATATATACTTTTTGTTATTATATAATGACTGTGTATATATATATATATTAATTTTATATATATATATATATATATATACAGTAATTATATGATAACAAAGAGTATATTTGAGTATGATTATACTTATTATCAACCACATCTTCTAAAGTTCTTTGTCTGGACTGCAAAGGATAATTAAGTCATTAGTGTAAGAAAATATTTTCACTATATATAAACAAAATGAATCGAATACAGAATTTTACACTGACCTTTTCGCTTAAACAAACAGTTGAGGAATGATATTCTTCTTGATGATGACGCATGCCATTCATCTGAACAATTTCCCCGCATATGAAGCAACTGATTTCTGGCACAACCAATTTATCTTCAGCCTTAAAAGTATTAATAAGAAATAAATGAAAAAACTTGATTATACTAATTATATTGGTTTAATTCAAATTACTTTGTATTTTCAAATTGCTTTGATTCAAAAGACATCAGACAATTAATGTAAACAATATGGTATGTTTCTAATTTAGTTTTAAAATAGCTACAAAAATACAATCAAACTCATATCTATAAACCATTCATGTCAGTAAATATAAAAAGAACCTTTATCCCAGAGAATCTGTTCAGAGAGATCAAGATATAGAGGGTCTTAATAATAGCAATAGATCTGGGAAAATCCTAGTTATATAAACACTGAAATACACAACTCTGATTAAATTGGCTAATTCTGTCCCTAACTACATTTAAAAGAATTAACTACATTCAAAATAATTAACTGCTAATTGTGCATATTATACTACACACCTTAGGCATTTCAGTGTCATCTTTAAGATTTAAATCTTTTTGGAGTGGCCTGATATAAATTTTAGACTGTCCACATAGGTCTTTGAGATGACTAGGGGTATGTGGTGGATCAATGATATGAAATCCACTGCCCTCGCCACCTCCTCTCTGGTATAACAGCATGTCAAAACCACCAGCAGTGCCAAGTATTGGGTATTTTTCAATAACCCTGTCATAAACTGGCATCCCATCTTGTGACAATGAGATGCTACAGTCTCCAAGACCAGCGTTTGATAGGATGGTACATTCTTTCACAGTTGTTGGTGGCTGCTCTGCTTGCTTTGAGGCCAAACAACAAAATTTTAGGGTACATGATGACACCTTTTTAGCTTTAGCTGATTTTGGTTTGGAACAAGAGGTTGATGATCTCTTGCCAAAATGAAAAAGTCTCCGTTGCTCAACACACACAGATACTGGAGATGGAACTGTGACTCTACTGGATGGACCAGCTGTCCTGTTATTCCTGCTATTCATTGTTCCCAGCTCATTTGAGGCATCAAGTTGGTCAGCAGGTGCATCTATATAAAACATGAAAAGCACTCTTCACTCTTGTTAAAAAAATAGCTAAAACTTCAACCTTGTGCATGTACTAAGGAACTCATTTATATATATATATATATATATATAATATTATATTATATAATATATATATATAAATATATTATATATATATATATATTATATATATATATATATATATATAAATTATATATATATATATATATATATATATATATTATATATATATAATATATATATAAATATATATATATATATATTATATTATATTATATTATATATATATATAATATATTATATATATTATATTATTATATATATATATATATATATATATATATATATATATACAACAACATAATCATTTTTCAGACTGTACGTAGCTTATTAAATTGTCGTCGACTTTGTGCATACACAGTTAATAGAATATTAATATTCCCTAAAATATTCATCATTAATCTCCATATTCAATAGAAACTGAGATATAAATAGATGAAATAAAAAACACAAGTCAGCACTTACCTGAAGTAGATGGTCTTGCTGACCTTTGCATGCTTCCAAGGCGTTCAACCGCTTTCATTAGTGTACTTCTTACCTCTTGTAAATCAGACATTTTATTTCATTACAGTAAAAAATCTGAGGTTTCACTTTTGCAGTTTCGCACTTTCGCTTTGAGATGAAGTTAATAATTTATTTTCAAATAATTATGATGAAAGACATGCCCGTCTCTACCCCTACTCAGTGTACAGAAGTATTTGACTTTGGGGGATTGGGTGAGGAAACACGAGCCCGCAGTTCTAAAATTGTTCAGGATTGCGGTTGGATGTCAAATTAGAAAACTTGAATGTCAAAACAAAACTTGCACGAAAAATACAAAATACTGCAAATCAATTCGCTCGACAACCAGCACTGAAAGTTGCATGTCGCAGAAAAAAAGTTTAAACTTCACACTACAATATGCAATTCCAAAAGTTGAAGTTGAGATGTACAATGTTGAATGTTAAGTATACTGAATTGTACTAAATACGCGAAGTTAAACAAAAAATACGATGTATGAATTTTGGCGGAAATTTGACGTCATAGGTGAAAGTTTGGAATCTTTTGTGCAATGTATCGTAATTTCAAAAAATTTGATAAACATTAGGTCCGCCGCGAAACGTTTCAAAATTGGATTTTTTCCCCGTTTACTCCGCTCTCTGAACTTGGATTTTCAACGTCTTATTTTCTTTGCACAAGCGGTTAAAAATGAGGCTTTTACAAACCGTTCTCCCGCTTTTCGAGGTTAATTTTTCTGCTAGTTTTTACTCTTAGATAAGCCAGAAGATGCTAAAATACTTAGACGTAAATATATTTTTGAGATATCTTGATAAAATGATAGTTTTCTGAACATTTTAAAATCTTCTAGTTTTTTCTGATACACCCTGTAGAATATATTGCCAGTAGCAAGCTTAGCCAATTATTTAATTATTATATTAATTTTGTAGATGTTGCACTGTAGTAACTAACAGTCAACTTATGGAAAAACAATGATGCCAAAAAACGTATTATACAAGAACATCATCAGTTATTACTGCTGTTACTATTAACTTATAACTATTAATTTCACTCATTGCCACCTGGAGGTTCCACACATCATGATGAGTAAAATCATCTGGCATCAGACAGAGTAAAATATGAGAGGAAGGTTTTGCATGGCTCAGGCATTAATGAGTACTTCTCTGTTAACTCATTGCCGCCTGGAGGTTCCCACATAAAATTGTCTGGCGTTAGACAGAGTGAAATTGTCTGGTGTTAGACAGAGTTAAATCTGTAAAAAGGCTACTTTTGGCATAAATTACATGAAATATGAATGCGTTGATGATCACTCGGACCATTCAGTGTACTTGTACTACATGTACGGTACATGTGCCAGTCTGCTGTACCTTATTGACTGAAATTTTCAGCCAACTTTAGTTATTATAGTGACTTAATACTTTATGTAGTATAGGTTATATAGATACTTTACCAATTTGGACATTATGACCATATATAGAGCGACACGAGGACAACAAGCGGGGTCTATTAAGATGGCTGTATATCTAGACTCGTTGTAGCAAGGAACTGTAGTTTGTACATTAAAATATCTCATGAATAAAATATGAGAACATTACATTGGCGACGAGGATAAAGTGTGATTAAGTATTTGTAACAATGGCAGAAAATCCAGAACAAGAAATTCCGATCTTTACCAGATACCGGTAATGACGAGGCATATGATACTGCCAAACAACGCCTGAAACAGTACTTTGATCCTCAGAAGAACAGGCGCTATGAGGTATATCGTTTTCGACAAACGGTACAACAACCCAATGAAACTCTAGATGCGTTTCATACCCGTTTACAACGCCTAGCAGAAACCTGTGAATTCCCAAACATAGAATTTGAAATAGAAGAACAGATTATTATCGGAGGGACATCGTCTAAAATACGCAAGCGAGCGCTACGAGACCCCCAATTTGCTTCAAAAGACATGCTGTTGGGATGGAGATGTGATGAACAAAGTACATTTCAAGTAAAAGATATTGAATCGAAAGACGTTAATATCACAGGAACGAACAAACTTATCGCACAATCGGGACAAAAGCCTGAGCAACAAACATGTCAGAACTGTGGACGCAATTACCCCCACGAAGGTCGTTGCCCAGCAACTGGAAAGATATGCAATAAATGTGGAAAACCCAACCACTTTGCGAATGTTTGTCGAAGTACAAAGAAACCTGCACGTAAGTCAAGAAAACCAATCCACCAATCAGTAAGACCCTTAAAAAGGGAAGAAAATAATCACTCAGCCTCAGATTCTGTCGAGTCATACCTATATACAGTGAACAGTAAAGGCACAAACAATGCCAGTGTCAAAGTGACCGTAGACGGTGTATCATTTAAAACCATGGTAGACACTGGAGCTAGTATAAATGTGATTGACGAACAGACTTTCTCAAAATTTAGTGAGGTGACACTAAAACAAACCAAAACCAAAGCTTTTGCTTACAATCAGTCTGAACCAGTTGAATTCCTTGGAACATTCAAAGCTGTTGTCGAGACAAGAAAGCGTATGGCAGTGGCAATTTTCTATGTGGTGAAAGGCCAGAACTCTGGAAACCTACTTTCACTATCAGCTGCTCAGGATTTGGGACTAATCACATTACACATAAACAATGTTTCTACGAAAGATGCTGCACTGGATGAAATACTTGCGAAACATAAATCAGTATTTAACGGGCTTGGCAAATTGAAAGAAACTACAGTAAAGCTAGATATAGACAAAACTAAAACGCCAAAGGCCCTGCCACAACGAAGGATTCCGTATCACATTCGAGACAAGGTAAAGACAGCTCTTAAAGAACTTGAGAAGCAAGACGTGATTGAGAGGGTACCAGATGATGAAGCAACGCCTTGGGTCCAACCAATTGTGGCAGTCCCTAAAAAGGACGGTACAGTGAGAATATGTGTGGATATGCGTCTTCCCAACGAAGCCATCCAGCGGGTGCGACACCCCATACCAACAGTCAATGACATTAGTGTTGAACTTAATGGAGCCAAGTATTTTAGCAAACTCGATCTCTCACAGGCATACCATCAACTTGTTCTCGATGAACAAAGTCAATATATTACCACGTTTAGTACCCATATAGGGTTGTTCCGATACAAACGTTTGAACTACGGAACAAATGCATCCGCCGAAATCTTCCAGTATGTGTTGCAACGTGAGCTACAAGGGCTACAAGGAGTGAGAAATATTGCCGACGATATTATTGTTTTCGGAACGACACGTGCCGAGCATGATGTTAACTTAGAGAACTGTTTACGTTGTCTAACAAAGAAAGGATTCAAGCTTAATCGTGGCAAATGTGTATTCCTAAGCAGCACACTCGAATTCTTTGGACAAATCTTCTCCAAAGATGGTATTCGTCCAGACCCGAAGCGTGTTACAGACCTACTTAATGCATCACGACCTGGGAACGTTAGTGAGGTAAGAAGCTTATTAGGGATGGCTAATTATAGTAGTCAATATATCCAAAATTTTGCCACACTAACTGCCCCACTTCGTGAATTGACCAAAAAACATGCATGGTTTGAATGGAACAATATTCATGAACGAAGTTTCCAAAAACTCACTGCAGCATTGGCCACATCTCCCTGCATGGCCTATTTTGATAAAAATAAAGAGACCTCAGTTGTGGTGGACGCTAGCCCAGTTGGACTTTCAGCCATTTTATCGCAAAATACTCCCGGACAGAATGACCATAAGGTCATATCATATGCAAGCCGAGCTTTGACTAATCCAGAGTCACAATATTCACAAACAGAAAAAGAAGCCCTGGCCATCATGTGGTCAGTGGAACATTTTCATTTATTTTTGTATGGTGGTCAATTTACTCTGATCACTGACCATAAGCCCTTGGAAGTAATATATGGAAAAAGA